TATAATTTATATTATTCATTATCTATTTTAACAATTTAATAATTTATTATTATTTAAATAACCCATCCCAAAACTCACAATTATTTACAGAACCCTTTAAAAAAAATAAAAAACAATAACAACAACATGGGGAAGCATTTAAGGGTAATATAACATATTGAATTTTTTAAAATTTGTTTGGATTCTATATCTTGGAAGAAAATATTAAAAGTAACTTATATGTTTTTTAATTTGCAGGATATAATGCGTTAATGTCTTTTGAGTTTATTTTTGTTTTATATCTTATGAAAGAAACCATGGAGATCACGGATTTGTTTTGTCAAGCTTTGCAGCGTAAATCTCAAGATATTTTGAATGCCTTAAATCTTTTTAAATCAACAAAGGTTCTCATGCAACAATTCAAAGAAAGTGGATAAGAATCTTTACTTGAAAAGGTAAAATTATTTTGTGACAATATAATATAAATGTTTCTGATATGTTTGCCACATATGTTGCATGGGGAGGACGTGCTCGTCATCAATACAATATTATTATTGTTGAGTATCATTATCGAATAGATATTTTCAATGCTGCAATAAATTCTCAATTGCAAGAATTGAATTGTAGATTTAATGAAAATGCAATGGAACTATTGACTCTTAGTGGTGCTTTAGATCCTAAAAATGGGTGCAAGAGTTTCAATATTGATCATATTTGTGAGGTTGTAGAAAAATACTTCATTTACAAGTTATTTCAGAGATGGAGAAACTTCATTTGAGATCAAAGTTTTCGACATTATGAGATTGAAACAAGTTGTGATCAAGGTTTTCAGAATTTGTCAAATATTTTTTAGTTATGTCAATGGCTTGTGGAGACTAGAAAATCAGAGGTTTACAGTCTCATTTACAAGTTAATTACTTTGGTACTTACTCTTCTAGTTTCTACGTCAACAACAGAAAGAGCATTTTTTGCTATGAAAATTATGAAAACAAAACTTCGTAACAAAATGGAAGATGAATTCGTTTCAAACTCTTTGATTGTTTATATTGATAAGGAAATAGTTCAGACATTTAGTGTAGATTCTATTATAGATAAATTTTGTGATATGAAGACTTATCGAGTATTATTTTAATTTATGATATAAAAGTAAACTTTTGAAATTATAATGTATTATTTTGAAACTTGAAAATCCGGCCCCCTCTAACTAAAATTCCTGACTTCGCTCCTGATCCCAAGGCCTTGACATCTGTAGACCATCCATATGTAATGATCTTGTCACACTCTTCCTTGGAGGACCAT